TTTCAAATAACATGTGAATCAAAAAAAAAATTCAAATGGAAGTCAGAAAGTATTTTGAATAAATGAAAATGAAAACAATATATCAGAATTTGTCAGGTGCAGCTGAGGCAGTGTTTTTATAACACTAAAAACCATTATATTACAAAAGAAGAAAGGTCTCAAATCTACGATTGCTGCTCCAACTTCCATTTAAGAAACTAGATAGAAAAAGAGTAAATGAAATACAGATTAAGCAGAATGAAAGAAATAATCAAGTAGAAACCAATAAAATAGAAAACAGAAAAATAATAGAGCCAAAAACTGGTTTGCGGAAGACGGAAAAAACTGGTAAATGTACAGGCAGCCTGTAGTGTTTGAGGAATTTTGGGGGCCATCACAGAACAAGATACGACCACAAAATATCACATAGGCATACAAAGAGCTTTATTTGGGCACCTTGGACAGGTTGCTGTGGGGATGTCCTTCACAGTAGACCATCCACCCAGAAGGGAGGAGGGCAAGGAAACTTTCAGAGAGAGGGAGATCAGAGAGAGCATACATGTCTAGATGGTGTCACTCAGCAACATGTTTGGGAGTCTCTGAAATACAGAGCACTGAAGAGCAAGCAGCAGCAGCTTGGGATCTTTTATAGCTACTTGGTTTTTAAAAACCTCTGGCTAGCAGATGTTGGGTGTAGTTTCCTGTGGCAATGCAGGCAGGCTCTAAATGGCTAAAAGTCTTCTGCTTATTTGAGTTATTTTTAAACTATTGGATATGTAAAATTTGGGTTTCACACCAGCGGGCTTTGGAACTTAAAGGTCTGCTACGAAGAAGTAAACATAGGGCCAATATAAAGAGGCTACCTCTGGCTCATAATATAACAATCTATCCCCTCGGCCCATGTTGTTTTATAATTTAAGTTGTGATATGTTAATTCAAAACGCCTGAGTTTGGATTCAGCAACAAGGAATTTTAAAGAATCCTATAAGGGTAAAAACTAGGATTTCAAAGCCTGTTTGTAGGCCCATCTTTCAGGAGAATAGATCAGAAAAGGAGAAGATTTTGACTTGTTCAATCTGCTTAGTCTGTAGTGTTATTATGGTCCCTTTGATGCATGTCACCGGTATTCTTTAAAACATTTAGCGAGGTATGTTAAATGTGCAGGCTTCACTCCTTTCAGCAGCCAATAAGTAATCTGGGGCTATGTGGTGACCCACCAGTGGATATGTAGTTGACATTGGCAAGGACAGAAACTTCTCAGGTAAGGTAGGGACAATGCAACAGAGTAGGGGTTAAAGTCAGGAGTCATCTGCAGCCAGCAGCAGGGGATCTTCTGGGTATAATCCAAACAGTATTGCTCAGTCTGGGGGTGATTAGTTTCATCTCCTAGGTGTCAAAAGCAGATCTAGTTTGTTCTGTGCCTTTAGAGAAGCAAAGTACATAGGCAGACATTGACAGCACCTCTCTCTAGATAATGGTGGTGTTTTGCTTAGCTTATGCTGGATAATGAGCAGAAACAGGCTGAGGATAGTCTGAGTCTGTGGTTCAAGTCAAGTCCTCATCAAGATTGAATGGAAGGTAAATAGGATCAGATTTTCTATGAACTTGTCCTGCAAGTTCTATCAAAAGCCCTGGTTTTAAAAGCCCATTGTGTCTTTCTATGCTAGCTACTGTCGTAGGACGAAGGAATTGGTGAAAACCCAAGCAATGTTAATTTGTAATGCCCATTGCAGCATCTGCTTTGTGGTAAAGAGCCCTGCTCTGACTGTGTAACCTGTGGTGTGCCTAAAGGCTGTGAAAGCTGTTTTGTTAACTCCTCAATCATATTAGCCTTTGCAACCCATTTTTGTAACCCCGTGATGGCTAAATGCCTCAACCTGTTACGTGTCCTCCAGGAACAGGGATAGGGTGGCCCATCCCAGAGTTCTGGGGTCTGCCCCACTTCAGGAGGCTCGCCACTCTAGTAGCTGGGAGCTCCCTGGCTTTGGCATTGCCTTGCGCTTCCTCTGTGTCTTGCTGGATATAAGCAGAGGTCTGATCCACGAAGATCAAAGATTGGGGTGGGGGGAGTAGGAGCCAATGGATTTTCCCCCCATCTCTTCCCCACCCCCACAGGTCTCAGCTTCGCATTCTCCAGCCTTGATTATGCTAAAGCCCTGACCAAGTAGCCTATTAGCCCCCAACCAGGGGTTGTTAAAAATATAAGCCTTAGGAAAACATTCGTCAAGGGCATACTCTATTGCTAGGAGTACTGCACCCAGCGCAGCCCATTGAACACTTTGGTCTCTCCTCGTACAGAAGCTGGAGTGTCTGAATATGGGCGATGGGCTGAGCTATGTGCCATGTGGCTCCTTTATGCCCCATGCTCACTCCACTGGTAGAGACCATTGGCCTTTCTTGTGTCTCATGCCTCTCTGTGGATGGCTGTCTGTAACAGTTGTCCCCTCTGAAGAGCTTGATTAGAATTGTGGAGAGTGGGAAGAGGAGGTGCAGAACAGTATGTATGCTGGGCCCCATTTGCTTTTTTTAAAAGGGACCATACATAGTTTCGTATGCTCACATAAGAGTAGAAACAGTGATTTACCCTTTAAACTGTTTCCTTTTTAACCATGAGCAGGTTTTACTTTCCAATTAAAAAGTATAATAATGTAAAAACCACCCAAGGGTGACTGGGTGTAGAACCAAGCAGCGCTTCCAAAGGCTGGGCGATCACCCCTCAGCATGGCTGCCACCCACCCTGCTGGAAGGCCGCTTCTGGATGCACCTCCTTGGGTTACAAGAAACACATCGTTTTGGACCCTGAAGGCAATTTTCTTGATTCATCGGTTACTTCAATCAGCAGATTTGGTTCTGAATAACTTATCACTCTTCCTTGAAACTTGCTTTTTCTTGAAAGAAAAAAGTTTCTTATTATTCAAAGTACTCCAAAGATAATGTCAAGATTTGTTAAATATTTTGAGCAATGTCAAGTGCCCAGTTTTGGAATAGTATACTCAGGGTGGTGAGAGTCAACACGATGGGTACCAATATGTGAGTGTTTACCACATGCCAAGCAGTTCTTGTGCATGATCTTTCTACTAACAACACCTCTATAAGGTAGGTGCCATCATTATCCCACAGGGACTAATTAGGAAACCTCCTTATACCAAGTAAAAAAGTGAGCTGGTGGAGCCAGGATTGAGGCCAGGTCTGGTCAAACTCCAGAGCCTGAGCACATACTCTTTGTATTACCGAACTGAGGTAAAGGAAATACAAAGCCACATATCAGCAAATCCAGTGCTAAATGAAGCTGTTAGATTGAAAACACATAGGCAATTGGAGAGTAATCACAATGAAGTAGCCCCACCTATTAAGCACCTTCTGTGTACTGGGGACCGATCTGGGCACTTTCATCCCCACGACCTCTCTGTGTAGTGGCCTTCAGGGTCCTTCTCATCCCTAATAGAAAAGCCATATCAGCACTCATGTCATCAAAGTATTACAGCTTTAAATAATACTATATTTAAGTTGCTATATTTAGTAGAGAGATGGTACATAGTAAGCACTCAAAAAATGTTAACAGTTGTAGTCATCCTCACCTTCCATGAGTCAACTTAACATTTCCCCCTCCATGGAGCTATCCCTAATCTCTTGTTGTGCCCCCAATGAAATCCAAGACAATGCATTTCTAGTTAGGTTTGCTCATCTGTGTCCTTCCTTATATTGTGACCTAATTAAGGGCAGAAGCTATCTTGTTCATCTTTGTTTCTCTGCTATTCAGCAGCATCTGGCACCTGGTAGGGCTCAGTGTTTGTTGAATGAATGAATGAATGAATGAAGTAGGAGCCATTTATTAACCAGCTCTATTGAGTGTGTACTATGTGACAGACACTGTTCTGGTTGCTGAGAAGACATCAGTGCATAAAACAGGTAGAGTTCTTGCCCTCATGGAGCTCCCATTCTATTGAGGAGGATACACTCAATAAGCAAACAAGCAACTATATACACTAAGTTAGATGGTGTGAAGTGGTTTAGGGGAAAATAAAACAGAGTAAGAGGTACAAAGCCAGGGGCAGGTATTGCTTTCTCATATAAGAAGTTCAGGAAAGGCCTCAGAGATAAGGTGCTTTTGAACGGAGACCTGAAGGAGGCAGGGAGTAAGGTGCATGGATATTGAGGAGACAGGGCAGGGAAGTATAATCCAGATCAAGAGAACAGCCAACCACAAGCCCCTGATGAGAGAATGTGCAGGTACATATGACAAACAAGAAGCTGGCCAGTGGGTGCTGGAGTGGAGCGAGTGAGGAGAAGAGTGGCATGACATGAGACTAGAGAGGCTGTGGGGGAGGGGAGCTATGGGCTCTGTGGAGTATAGATCATGGGCCATGTGGGGATCAATCATTCCTTAATGAAAAGGCAAGCAATTACTAATTGATTAGTTTCTTGAGCATCTTGAAAAGCCTGTCCATTTACCTATTTTAGAATGTAGCAGGAAGGAAAATTTTTCTAGCCTTAATCAGCCATGAGTACAAATGAAGTTGTTTCATATTAATCTTTGAATCCCAAAGGCTTTGAGATCTCATCTATGCAAATGTAGGAAGTCCACCCCAAGGAACACCCTTCCTCCCAAGTATTTCTAGGATCCCTAAAGGTGTGCACATAATCCTAAATGGGTTGCTATGGCTAGGCAGGTCAAGCTTTTGCAGCTTCAGCACCAGATGGTTCCACAGATAAGCCCCACTGGGGAGATCTACTCCTGTCACCATCCCTTAGGTGGGTTGGCCAGGAGCTGCAATTCTGGGATTCCACCATGCCTGGTGGATCCAGGCCACCACTGTGCCTCAATGCCAGAGACCTTCTCTTATGAGGTGAGAACATTTCTTCTGGATGCATTACATTGTGGCTGTTCCACAGCAAAACTTTTTGGACTCCAATGTTACAGCATCTACTGACACAGCTTTCACTTCACACCTATAGCCCTTTCTCCCAAAGGAGCAAACCTACCTCCAAGCTGGCTGGGTACAGACATACCTGGAACTACAGTTTTCCTCCAACATTCTATCTTCTTGGGAAGATGGGCATGCTCTGTCAAGCTGGTACCCCTTTCACAGTGAATTTTCTCTCGAAGCTTCCATAATCTCTGCAAAAGGGCCTTTGCCTGGGCCACTCCAGCCATTCGTCCTGTTAGTAATCGAACCCATTAAGGAACAAAGTTCAAGATTTTTCCCTAAGATCATCAGCCCTAATGAAAATCAATGAATGTGACTTCTGACCAAACTATTTACCAGTATGGCTAAATCTCAGCTCCTACCTGGCTGTGACCCACTGAGGCTCTTCATTAGGATATTAACTTTATTATGTCCTGAGGTCTTCCATTTATTATTTAAAGTGTAACTGCATTTGAGCAGTAACAGCAAAGCCGGGTAAAGAACGGACACAGGTGTTCATTTCAGATGGTACAAATTTAACAAGGTCCAAGAGCAACTACAGGCTCAACACAAAACTCTAAAGTAATGGTGACTCATTGTCAAACCTAAATAGGGTAATTAACCTAACACCTATTACGCACAAGGACAGTTCTAGTTCCTCTCCTTTTCAGTAGAGAAATGAACAGATAGTCTTTATAATGCCACCTATGCTATGAGATTGACTTACAAGGTTTTGCTTTTTTGCTTTAAAATATTTTTAAAAGGAAAAATATTGGTTGATATGAGATCAATTTCATTCTAAATTCCACTCTGTGGTTAATATGATTATGCTGAAATACTACTGTACTTGATTGCTTTATTTCATAATGAACAACATTATTTCTCAAAAAAACCTTTAAATGGCTTTACCTACCTCATGGTTTTCTCTTTAACTTCCTCAGTAAAAAAGGAATGATGAGAAGATAAAAGCCAAAAAATGAAAAATCTGAACAATAAAAGCTATCATATACTCCATATGGAATAGATCCAACTGATAAGGTGGCCAGGAAAGCACACGGGTTCTGGAATCAGGAGACCCGTGCTTGAATTCTGGGTCTGCTACATCTTGTTCTCTTTGTGCCATTCTCTTCATCTGTAAAACAGGGATAATATCATTTCATAGAAGTAGGTACAATCGATGTCAAAATGTTAAGTGCTGTTAGTTCAGCTCAACAAGCTGAACAGAGAAAATCATACAGACCCCTGAGAGTTCTTGGCCTGACTTGGTCATACTTTTCTAATGAATGAATGAAACATGCGTTTCGAAAGAGGCCAGCTTGGAATGGCTACATTGCCACGTAAGCTCCTCAGAAGACCAGTCTATGTGAGACTGGCTGACCTCTGTCAGTCTCATATAGAGCTGGTCTGGGGAACTCACTCTATTTCTATACTATCTCTAGCCAAAAAACGTTAACTTCTTGCTCAAAAAGCATACAACAAAGAAAAGAATTACAAAGAAAGCACTCCTCCACCACACTCAAAGGTCAGGGAAGCATAACCTCTCCTCTCCTCTCCTCTCCTGATTCTCAAATCCTAAGTACTGACATCCTTCACCCATAAGAAATCCTTTATGTTGGAGACCACACTCTGGGTCTCTATCTCCAATCCACTGCCTTTTTAAAAAAACATGTCCATCATAAAACATTCACAATAGTATTTGTAAGTATTTTACTCAGTAGTATTTATGTATCTTAAAGCCTTATCCATTGCTCTCTGGTCAAGTAGACTCAAGGAATAGCTGTTGTAGGGCCTGAAACATCTTGAATCTCTTTCACTGCATTCTTATCTGCAGTTACACAATAGAAAGAATCTTCAGGCCCAGGGCCACAGGTTTTGTAAGAACTGAGCTAAGTCCTTAGGAGAACATATCCAAACTCTTCTCCTAGAGTGAGTGGTGTTTTAACTAGTTGCTCTTTCAAATTTTGTAATTCATATCTTGCTTTAAAAAATATTTTTAAAAATATAATACATCCTTTTACAAACTAGCACCTCCAAGTTTTGGTCAAACTTTTACATTATGTATTGAGTTTGCTTAAAACAGGCATACAGGTAATCCTGTGACATAGTCCACCACTTTAAAAAACAATAAACATATTAAGTGCATGTTTATAGCTTAATGGTACCAAAGTAAGCCAACTTAAGACAACTCTTTACAGAAACACACACATTTTTGCAAACTTTCTATCTCATGCTTACACTAGCAATCCTACTTCCCAGGACTTTTCTAACATCTCAGGAATTCTTTTACATATAGCTAACATACATTCACATCACTCCACACTACACTCTACCTGTTCCATAGTAAAGCCAATGTTGGAAGACTTCTACTGCAATAGGGGAAGATCACAAGAAACAGAGGAAGCATGGAGCTTGGCTTGATCATTTCTGCTTGAGAAGAGTGGTATGCAGTGGGTGGGGAAAGTCATTTTGGAAACAATGATTAATTTAATGCCCTCCAAAAATTTGTAGAGTATTTCACTAGTAAAGGGGTCCCTCTCTGCCTCCCAGCCCCACATCAGCAAAAATTTTGCATGACAGAAGGCAGTGCAATGACATATTCAAAGTAATGCAAGAAAAAAAAAAATGTTGACTGAGAATTCTATATCTGACAACTGTCCTTTAAATATGAGGACATAATTAGGACATTCTTATATAAACAAAAGCTGAGGAAATTCATTACTACTAGACATGCTTTACAAGAAATGCTGAGGGCAGTCCTTCAAGTTGGAAGGATACTAGAGAGTAACTCAAAGCCATATAAAAATGTAAATCTTTCCAGTGAAAGTAAATACATAAATACAAAAATTTAGCATTACTGTAATTAGGGCTCATAACTCTTTATTCTTTTATAGGATTTAAAATAGAAAAGGCATAAAAAGTATAAATCTATGTTAGTGGGTACACAAAAATAAAGATGTAATTTGTGGCATCAATAAAAGAGGGGTAAAACTACAAAACAGTAGTTTTGTATGTGGTAGAAGAACATTTTATACATTTATGATGTTATATGTAATCACTAGGGTAAGTACAAAGAAAGTATCTATAGAATATACACAAAAGAGTGAGAAAGGAGTCAAATATGTCAATACAAAAAAAAATCAACTAAAAACACACAAGAAGGCAATAAGAGAGGAAATGAGGAACAAAAAGCTGCAAGGGCAGTGAAAATGCTCTATAATTATGGATATATGCCATTATACATTTGTCCAAACCCATAGAATGTACACAACCAAAAGTGAACTCTAATGTAAACTATGGACTTTGAGTGATTTTAATATAGGGGTCAATGTAGGTTCTACCTTGGTTAAAAAAAAAAAAAAAGAAAAAAATTCCATTCTGATGAGTGACGATAATGAGGGAAGCTATTCATGTGTGGGGACAGGGGACATATAGAAAATTTCTGTACATCTCTCAATTTTGTTGTAAACCTAAAACTGTTCTAAAAAGAAAAGTCTTAAATAACAAAAAGGCAATAGTGGTCCTCCCCTATCAGTAATTATTTTAAAGGTAAATGTATTAAACTCCCCAATCAAAAGATACAGACTGGCACAATGGATAAAAAAATAGAATCTAACTACACACTGTGTACAAGAGACTCACTTTAGATTAAGGACATGCATACGTCAAAAGTGACAGAGAAAGATATTCCATGCAAACAGTAATCAAAAGAAAGCAGGGGTGGCTATACTAATAGCAGACAAAGTTTAAGTCAAAAACTGTTATGAGACAAAGAAGTATATTATACAATGACAAAAGGGTCAATTCACCAAGAAGATGTAACAATTACAAACATATAAGTACTGAATATCAAAGCTCCTAAATATATGAAGCAAACATTGACAAAATGAAAGGTAGATTCACAATAATAGGAAACATCGGTACCTCACTTTCAATAATGAATAGAACAGCAAGACAGAAGACTAACAAGGAAATAAAGGCCCTGAATAACACTATAGACTAAATATACAAACCAGACTTATACAAAAGATACCACCCAACAATAGCAGAATATACATTTTCCTCAAGTGCACATGAAACATTCTCTGGGATAGAATAATGTAATGCCAAAAAACAAGTCTTAGTAAATTTTTAAAAATTGAAATCATACAAAGTATTTTTTCTAACCACGAAATGAAACGAGACATCAATAGAAGAAAAACTGGAAAATCCAAAAATATGTGGAATTTAAACAGTGACCCAATGATGGGTCAAAGAAATTACAAGGAAAATTAGAAAATACCTTGAGACAAATGAAAATGAAAACGCACATACCAGAATTTAAGGGATACAGCAAAAGCAGTGCTAGAGAAATTTATAACTGTAAATGTTTACATTTAAAAAGATCTCAAATCAACAACCTAACTTTACATCTCAAGAAAATAGAAAAAAACCTAAACCCAAAGCTAGTGGAAGGAAGGAAATAAAGATTAGAGCAGAGATAAACAAAACAGAGAAAAAAGAGGAAAACAATGAAACAAAGTTGATTGACTTAAAAGATCAACAAAATTGACCTTTAGCTAGAATGACTAAGAAAAAAAGACTCCAAAAGCTAAAATCAGACATGAGAGGGGGGACATTACTACCAATTTTACAGAACTAAAAAGGATTATAAGAGAGTATTTTGAACAGTGTGCCAACAAATTGGATAACCTAGATAAAATGAACAAATTCCTAGAAACACAATCTACCAAGACAGAAACATGAAGAAATAGAAATAGATTTATAACTAGTAAGGAGATTGAATCTGTAATCAAAAACCTCCAAAGCCCAGGATCAGATGGCTTCACTGGAGAATTCTACCGAACATGAAAAGATTATCATTAATCCTCTTCAAATTATTCAAAAACTGAAGAGGAGGGAACACATCCAAACTCCAAACTCTGAGGCCAGCATTACCCTGATACCAAAACCAGCCGAAGATAATACAAGAAAACTACAGACCAACATTCCTGATGAATACTGATTCAAAAATCCTCAACAAACTACTAGCTAACAAAATCAAACAGCACATTAAAATGATTATAGACTATGATCAAGAGAGGGTTTATTCCTGGAATGCAAGGATGGTTCAACACATGAAAATCAATTAGTGTAATATATCACATTAACAGGTTCAAGGGCAAAAAACACATGAGCATCTCCACTGATGCAGAAAAAGCATCTGACAAAATTCAATACCCTTGCATGATAAAAACTCTCAAACTATGGAAACAGAAGGCAACTGCATCAACATAACGAAGGCCATATATGACAAGCCTACAGCTAATATCATACTCAATGGTGAAGGACTAAAAATTTTTCCTCCAAGATCAAGAACAAGACAAGGATGCCAGCTTTTGACACTTGTAATTAACATAGTAGTAGAAGTCCTAGTCAGAGCAATCAGGCAAGAAAAAGAAATAAAAATTCATCAAAAGCAGCAAAATCATCTGTTTGCAGATGACATGATTTATATGTAAAAGTGCCTAAAGATTCTACACACCAAAAAAATGGTTAAACAAATTCAATAAAGTTGATATAAAATCAATATGCAAAAATCATTTGCATTTCTGATTTTTCTAATGAACAATCCTAAAAGGAAATTAAGAAAACAATTCCATTTATAATAGCATCAAAAAGAATACTTAAGAATCAACTTAATCAAAAGAACTATACACTGAAAACTATAAAATATTGCTGAAATGAAAGAAAACAATACATGGAAAGAAATCTTGTGCTCAGATTGAAAGACTTAATATTGTTAAGGTGTCAATACTACCTAAGTGATCTACAGAACCAATGCAGTCCCTATTAAAATCCCAGCAATTTTATTGCAGAAATAGAATCCATCCTAAAATTCATATAAAATCTCAAGGGACCCCAAATAGCCAAAACAGTCTTGAAAAGGAACAAAGCTAGAGCACACACACTTCCTGATTTCAAAATTTACTACAAAGCTACAGTAGTTGAAATAGTATCACATAGGCAGAAAGACAGACATATAGAAACAAAGAGTCCAGAAATAAACCCTTGCACATAGCATCGAATAATTTTTGACAAGGGTGCAATGACCATTCAATGGAGAAAGTAGTCTTTTCAACAAATGGTGTTGGT